AAAAATCATTTTTTCTATGTTTGAGTCACAGTAACTTTGACATAGTAACATCTGCAGTAATATTTACAGCTCTGATGACATCTCACCAGTGTTAGCTTTATTTTGACACCAAGACTGTTTACACAGAGTTTGTAATTGCAGAGAAATACATTTATTTTGGTCATTTCCTTTTCAAGCAGGAAGCTCACCCTTCTTGGTATACCCTTTAGATGAATACAGAGTTTTTAATTAAATACATATTCTTTAAATAATGTTCCCTTTTAGAAAAAGTAGGATAATTAAAAAAAACAAAACATTTATTATAGCTCTGTCACGTAGAAAAAAACCTGTCTTTTTTCTGTGGTCTGTTATATAACATTAGGGGTGTTCGTGGCAATTAACTTTTTAATCGACTAAGCGGGTCAAGTAAGAAACACTTAAATATTAAGTTACATTTGAAAACTGTTTAAAAAAAAACATATCCCCATTCCACATTCCAAAATGTCATGTGACAATCTGATTGGCTTAGGAGTGATGATGTCACAAGGATGTCACAAGGATGTCACAAGGATGTCACAAGTATCCTTTGAAGTTTTTCTATAAATAGGGGTGAGAAACAGCAATTTTCAGTTCGTTTCTTCGCAGCCTTTGTGTTTGCAGCCTTCAAACGTTCACTACAGAAAAATTTGGAAACCTCTCAGAGTCATCGGATACAAACGCCAACATGTATCCAAGATTACGGCAACCGAGACAAAAAGATTTCGCCGCCTCTCCTTCCACGCGTGGCCGGCCAATTTCTCCAAATGGCCTCTTATCCATCCAAAGGGCATTACAGGAGAGTAGGAATGAAAACAACCATCTCCAGAACAAAATTCGACAAATTGAAGAAGAAAAACGTCACCTGGAGAAGAAGTGCTTACAGATGGAAGCACAAAACAAACACCTGGAAGAAACACTACAGCGCCAGCCCGACATCAACATTATTAATGAGGGCTGGGGGATCAAGTTTGCTCAAGCCAGAGAGCAGATTGTATCCCTCATCAAAGAAAACAAGAAAAAGAGCGCTGAAGTTAAAGAAATGTCCGAGCAGCTTCAAGGCAGGAAAGTGACGATTGATAAAATGGAGTGGGATCTGCAATACATGGACCAAATGAATCACCTGCTCCAAAGAAAGCTTGATGAAGCTGAAGAAAAAAATAAAGAAGTCCTCCAACAGAAGGAACAACAGGACACAAAGCAAAAAGACCTGCAGCGCGAGCTCCAAGGCATGCAGGAAAAGTACAGAATGGTGAAGGCAGAGTTGGAACAAACATTGGTCCAAAATAAAGACCTCCTTCAAGAGAAAGAGCAACAGAAAGACAGACTGCCAGAAGAAAAGTGCATTATCAAGGACTTTGAGAGTAAAAATCAAAAGTTGCAAGGATTCTGTGATGAACTGAAGGTCAAAACAAGTGAGCTGGAGGGAGAAAAGGAAACACTAGAAAAACGATGCTCACACATGCAGAAAAAGATTGATCACATGGCCAAAAACAACTCAGAGCTCATTAAGGGGATATTGTTGGAATTCAACAACTTGAAGCGGGAAAACACAGAAATGCAGGCCCAAAAGCAAAAACAAGACAAAACGCATGAGGACCTGCAGTGTACGCTCCGCGATATCCAGAAAAGAAATGAGCAGCTAGAAGGCCTGCACAAAGAAGATCAAGTGAGAAATGCAGACCTGCAGAAGGCAAAGCTGACACAGGAGGCAACATCCAAAGACCTCAAAGAAAAGCTTGAAGAAACACAAGCAACATTAGAACAGGTGGAACAAACATGCAAGAAACTAGAGAGGCAAAACACAGAAACCATCGATGAGTTGAGAACCCTCATCCTGGACAAAAAGGCGCTCGTGGAAAAGTCCATGAAAAAGAAGAAAAGATTCTTCAGCTTTTTCCGGTAGAGGGACAATACTGCTTCTTCAACTGATGTAGCCTCGTCTTGCTCCACCTCTGTTCACCCCCCAACCAGTCCCGGCAGTTGACTGCCCCCTCCTGAGCCTGGTTCTGCCGGAGGTTTCTGCCCGTTTTAAGGCAGTTTTTCCTCCCCACTGTCGCCTAGTGCGTGCTCAGAGGGGATTGTTGGGGTTTTCTCTCCTCTACCTTGTTTCGTTATTTACTTGTTAACTTTTTGCTCTTACCTCATTTAACCTTGTTTCGTTATTTACTTGTTAACTTTTTGCTCTTACCTCATTTAACCTTGTTTCGTTATTTACTTGTTAACTTTTTGCTCTTACTCATTTAACCTTGTTTCGTTATTTACTTGTTAACTTTTTGCTCTTACTTCATTTAACCTTGTTTCGTTATTTACTTGTTAACTTTTTGCTCTTACCTCATTTAACCTTGTTTCGTTATTTACTTGTTAACTTTTTGAACTTACTTCGTTTTACCTTGTTTCGTTATTTACTTGCTTGTTTAACTTTTTTTCAACTTATCTAACAAAATAAAACAGTTGAATTTATCCTTTGAGTATTGTTCATCTATTCTTTACAGAGTTTTTCCAAAACACTTTCAAACATTCAGATCTGTCTTTCATTTTCTTCTTGAAACCTCATGAACGGTGAACTAAAAACTCTGGAACATGGTTTGAAACACTGAAATTGTTTCAGCTGAAACTGGCAAAGTCATACGTGCGTGTGTGAGTGTCACAGGTGATATGGTGTCACTAGTCCGGTCATCATGTTTAGGCTCATTCACTCCAGAATTATTTAGGCCAAATCTTTAAAACAGTGTCACTGCACACACATTTCAATCACACAAATGCAGGATTAATTATTTGCAGTATCTTCTCTGATTTATTATGAGAATGTCACGCCTGATCATTTGCGCCCACAACATCAAAAATGGGGGCAAAAGGGAGGAGACCACGTTTAATCGATTATAACACGAGGTCAGAAATATAAGTGCTGACATGAGTAGTGTCCACAGAAACCTCTGAATCTCAGCTAAAAGCTCATGTAAACCATGTCTACAAACACCAAACAAAGCAAAGACACCAGACAGTTAAAAGAGCAGTTACTGCACCATGAATCTGTGGACAGGTAATATCCATATTTTGATTTATGATTTTCTGGAGTTAAATGGGAACCAAAGAATATTTTCAAAGGTGTTATATGCTATAAAATACTTTAAAATTAGGGAAGGGATATAAAAAAAAAAAACAAATCTAATTTTTCTATGTTTGAGTCACAGCAACTTTGACATAGTAACATCCGCAGTATTATTCACATCTCTGATGACATCTCACAAGTGTTAGCTTTATTTTGATTTTATTTGACACCAATACTGTTTACACAGAGTTTGTAATTGCAGAGAAATACTCCAGTTTTTTGGTCATTTAATTTTCGAGCAGAAAATTTTCACTCAGAAAACCCCTGGGGGCCAAACAGCACTTGTTTGTGCTTTGGAGTTTTCATGTGTTTTGGATTTTGTAAGTGTTTTGGATTTTGTACGTGCTTTGTCTCTAGGGGCCACCGTATGCAAGGCAGTCCAGGTGGAGAAATTTTGCTTTTAGACTCATTTTATTTCTTTATCTGATAAGAAAACTATTCGGTCAGATAGTTATTTGTGGTGAAATTAATACAGTTTCATGCACATTTAAGCACCACATCTGAAATTCAAGCACTTTTCAAACCTTGAAAAGTCTATATTAAAATTAAAGGATTCCAAGCACCTATACGAACCCCGTCTACAGAACAGCCAAAATACTGTCTTTAGTTATTAACATTTGAAATGATGAAGGCACTTGAAAATGTCACTTGAAAAGTAACACAAAATTATCTGCCTTTCCAGACAAACAAAAACTTTTCAGAACTACTTAAGGTTTTGTGAGGTTACAAAACCCTGTTTAGTCTTTCCCTCCCAGGCTTCTAAATTTCTGATTGGCTAACATTTGGCTTTTAGAGTTTCCATGTGAAGGGAGATATTTTTTAAAACTGCACGTGTGGACAGGATTAAAAAAAGAAGAAGAAGAAAATCTCTGTTTTCAAAGATACCATTATACGTATGGACGTAGCCTAAACTACATTTTGGAGGCTGAACTGGAACTGGAAACCTCCCTTATCTTTACCAACTGACAATCTGATATCCATTCCACTTCATAGTACAGGGAGTGCAGAATTATTAGGCAAGTTGTATTTTTAAGGAATAATTTTATTATTGAACAACAACCATGTTCTCAATGAACCCAAAAAACTCATTAATATCAAAGCTGAATGTTTTTGGAAGTAGTTTTTAGTTT